AAATTTTAATTTTCTTTCTTTAATCCAGAGTGAAATAAATAACACAAATATTGAATATTTTGTACCAAGTTTTAGAAAGCAACAACTAGTAGACTGAAACAGATTTTTTCTTTCTTTCTTTTTTTTTTAATCAGCCTCCAAGGAATATTAAAGTAATGACTTCAAACTAGGGGGTAATCTGTCTGTACTTGTATGTAAATTCTTGAGCTCCTTAGATCTTGTTCTTGTAGCCAAAGCAGATTGTCCTGTTTGTGAATTTCAGGGTCTTTCTATATTTCCTCTTCTCTAATATCCTCAGTAGGGGAAACTGCCTCTCCCACCCTTCATTTCTGTGTTCTAATTAAGAACAGATAACCTGCCAATTCTTAAAGCTTTAATTCTAGAAAAAGTGGTAAAGCCAGAAATACATCTAAGTCATTTGGAACCAGAGGGCGATCCTCCATTTCTTGCTTTTCCTAATTACTGCATTTTATTTGTAGGACGTAAGAGGACATAAGATTTTTATTAATGTACATTGTGGGAAAATGCAAAAAATAATATGAGATAATATATCTAAAAAATCTTTAGATTTTTAGAGGAAAATGAACACATTTTCCCTTGCAAATTTCATACTTCTTTGTGCTAGATGGCTTTATAAGGCAAAAAATACACGTACTTCTACTGGTAATTCTATGCATTTTTAAGGAGGGCTTCAATCACTTTCACTTACCATGTTTTTCAAAGATTCAGTAAGATGTTGCTTAAAACCAGTTTCAAAGTCTGAGTTAGTGGCCTTTTAATTGTGTCGAATAGTTCATTATTAGAGAGGAAGCTTCCCTCTGTTTGCTGGCTTGGTTAATTTCCAACCAAATCCATAATTGCCTCAATCTTTACTTTTTAAAATTTTTCTACTTTTTCTTGCTCATTTCCCCACAGCTTACATACTCACCTTTGATTGTGTTAGAGTGCTTCACAAAGGTTTCACTCAGCATGTTCTATCAGGAAGTCTTTTCTGGTTATCAAGAACTCTTGGAACACAGGGACCATGTATTAAACTCTAACAGAACAGCCAGTGTATGCAGTGTGTCTGGTACAAGCCGACCTTCAGTTTCCCTCATCCAAAGGTCGTCTTTATCTAGAAAGTTTGCAAGAAGAGGGACTTTATCTTTCATTCTTCCCGTTTGGCTATCTAGCATTCCTCTTCAGTACCATGTACTCCCTCTGACAGTGTCAGCCATGGTTTGACATTACTGGGTATTTCTTGGCACAGAAACGCATTATCTATAGGTTGCTACCACACAGATGGTGGTAGAAGGGAAATCTCCACCCTATGTACCTATGACTCATCTCTCTTTCATGTGAATAGCATCGAAGAAATTCAGCTGTCCACAGAGGATTTATATGGGGGCACCCCAGTTTTTAACTTTTATCTTTGTAGACCATACTTGATGTCTCATTTTTATCTTTCCTTTTATTTTGGAAGGGAGATGTGTAACTTTCTGAGTCATTTAGTACTTCTGGTGTAATTTATCAGTTATTTAGTACTTCTGGTGTAGTAATACTTTTAATCAAACAGGGCAATTGTTATTAATAATTAATGTAAATATTAAATATTAATTTAAATATGATATATTTCAGTTTGCTGAAACTCTCATTAATGTCTTAATCAAACGGGGCAATGGTTATAAATTAATTAATCTTGCTAATTATTAATCAAATATTAATTAACAGTTAATTTATAAATTACTATATTATAAATTAATAATTAATTTATAACAATTGCCCCTTTTGATTAAAACATATTATTGAGAGTTTCAGCGAACTGGAATATATTGTATTTAAATTTCAATTGGTTGTGGTCAAGGGATTATGGGACTTATGTATATAACCTATATATTTATATATACACACATACACATTTACACACACATATAATAAAGGCACATTAATCTTGATTCAGGGACCAGTGAAACTTTAGACATTTTTTTTTTTTTTTGAGACTGAGTTTCGCTCTTGTTACCCAGGCTGGAGTGCAATGGCCCGATCTCGGCTCACCGCAACCTCCGCCTCCCGGGTTCAGGCAATTCTCCTGCCTCAGCCTCCTGAGTAGCTGGGATTACAGGCACACGCCACCATGCCCAGCTAGTTTTTTGTATTTTTAGTAGAGACGGGGTTTCACCATGTTGACCAGGATGGTCTCGATCTCTAGACCTCGTGATCCACCTGCCTCGGCCTCCCAAAGTGCTGGGATTACAGGCTTGAGCCACCGCGCCCGGCCCGAAACTTTAGACATTTTTAAATGTATATTTAGAGGATAAAGACTTTCTGTCCTGTAAAGGCTTTGGACTGTGATTAGATGGAGGGAAAGATCAGATGTTGAGTTTTGCCTTCCTTGGACCCATTATTATTAGTATCTGAGTGTTTCACTGCCATCTAGCTGTGGAATGTGGAATTATAGATATGTGGAATGAGTGCAGATGCCCTGACACAATAGAAAGACTTGGCTTGTGATTCAGAAACGTATACCTTGGTCATAGCAGCACTTTAGCTGCATGGTATAGGCAAGTTAATCTCTTCTGTTGCTGTGGATTTCTCTTTCTAGTATACGTAAAGTAAGTCTTTACCTATAATAGAGTAAGACTTACTATATAAAGACTTACTATATAAAGTAAGTCTTTACCTATAATAGACTTACTTATTATAAGATGGTAATAGAGGGGAAATCTCTAACTGACACAATAGAAAGATTTGGCTTGTGATTCAGAAAGCTGTACCTTGGTCATAGCAGGACTTCTAATTAGCTGTACAATATAGGCAAGTTAATCTGTCCTATTGCTGTGGATTTCTCTTATAAGATGGTAGTAGAGGGGAAATCTCTAACTGTATGTACCTATGACTCTCCTCTCTTTCCAGCTGAACAGCATCTAAGAAATTCAACTGTCCATAGAGGTTTTACATGGGAGCACTCCAGTTTTTAACCTTTCTCTCTATAGACCATACCTAGTGTCTTATTTTTATCTTTCCTTTTATTTTTGAAGGGACATGTGTAACTTTCTATTTAGCACTTCTGGTATAATTTATAAGTTATATGGTAAACTAAGTCTTTACCTATAAAAGACCTACTTATTATAGGAAAAGACTTACTTTACCTATAATAGAAAGAAAGTAAATATCAGATTTACATTTCTAATTGTTCTTTGATACTTAGTATTTATTCAGTGAATAAATGGTGATTGATAGATTGGTATGAATTGGTTATTATTTAGAGTTAACTCCTATATACACAGTAATTTTGCTGAGTAACATTAATAGTATAAGAGCAGTTTTCTCACTAGTAAACTAACAGTTGATTACATAGCATGATTTAAAGTTCATAAAGTACAAGTCCTTCTTAATATTTAAAAACTAGATTAGATAGACAAATTCTTAGTCTAATCAGAAGAACGAGCCAGTTTTTGTTTGTTTGTTTGTTTGTTTGCTTGTTTGCTTTTTTCATATAACTTTTGCTTCCAGTAGGGACTTGCGATCTTGAACACCCACTGATGAATTTCACTTTAGTTTGAATTCCAAAAGTGAAGGTGGAGGAAAAATAGCTTGATTTTTGCGTGAAAAGAGGATAGTGGAGCACCAAATTTAATGGAGACAATTATCACTCTTTTAATTAAATATGGTGTGCTTGGCTTTTTTATTTTAACTTGCAAAGTAAGGAGGTAATCTTTAAAGTTTTTACTAGCTCTGATATTCTGGACGTTTTCTTTGGGTTTTATAGTAATAACTTTCTACTGAGGATAGTACATTTCGTACATCCTTTTTCTACTCATCATTACTTCTTTCACTATTCAGAATAAATTCATGTATTTTCTCCTAGGCAGAAATAATATATTTTTAATTGTTTTTCTTCTACTGGAAACTTCAGGATGCTGTTAACTTCTATTGATATGGATTCTTCCATTAATATATTTGACAGAGAAAATCTATTGTGTATAAACTCTTATTTCCAGAGTTTGGGTTGTCTTAGGAAGTAGCTACTTAGGATTATGTTTGATAATAATTGCTATGATAATCATGATTAACCAGAACATCTAAGGTCAACTCATCAGTATAAAGCCTTTCTGTAAATGCTTTGGACAGTGATTAGATTGAGGAAAAGATCAGATGTAGTTCGAGTTTTGTCTTCTTTGGAGTCTTTATTATTAGGACCTGAGTGCTTCACTGCCACCTAGCTGTGCAGAGGTAGAAGAAAACTGAATCTGATCCCATGGCAGTAAACTATGTTTGCCGTTTGTGGAGACGAGAAAAAAACTATAACTTGTTGAAAAGTTTATTGTCTATTTTATTCAGTACAATTTTCTGGATCTTGCATCCAGAAGGCCATGACAATAAATTTAAATATAGTTGTACAGAGTTCCAGTAGTGACACAATAAGATGCAAATACACTGAATATTCACATGGGAAACTACTATAACATTCTTTATTCAAGATGGAATATGTTACAATGTTTCTAGAGACATTTTGGCTCCTAAACCATGTCATTTAGCTCCCTGGATAGGTTTGTCAATAATCAATTAAAACAAAATCTGGAAAATCCAAATTTTGAGATGCATAAATTTTTTAAAAACTTAATTTTATTCCCAGCCACCCAAATCACTTCATTATATAGTTCTCAATATAGCCTCAAATGCTTATTTTCTCTTCAATTCACTATTTTCTTTTTTTTTTTCTTTCAAGATGGGTGTTGCTCTGTCACCCAGGCTGGAGTACAGTATGTGATCTCTGCTCACTGCAACCTTCGCCTCCCAGGTTCAAGCAATTCTCCTGCCTCAGCCTTCCGAGTAGCTAGGATTACAGGCACCCACAACCACGCCAGGCTGATTTTTGTATTTTTTAGTAGAGACAGGGTTTTACCATGTTGGCCACGCTGGTCTGGAACTCCTGACCTTGTGATTCACCCTCCTCAGCCTCCCAAAGTGCTGGGATTATAAGCAGGAGCCACCACACCTGGCTTCATTCACTATTTTCTAACCAAGGAGTTCAAAGAACATGGAGCCTTACAAAAACACCTGGCACCAAATAAAAGTAATATAGTACAGAACTATAGTTAAAATGAAAAAACAGATATATACCCCTGCTACCAAAAAGAAGAGATAATGTTAAATACCTTATTTCATGTATGTGTCTCATTTCTTCTCTGGGCTAATTCTTATCTTGGGCTAGTTTGTGTTGGTTTCTTATTCAAAGTAATAACTCCTTTGTTCTTGGACATATTCATAGAGTGGGATGTTGCTACTAAGCAGAAGGAACCTGAGTCTGTTCTTTCCTTTCCATGGTAACCCCTCTCCTCAGAGCCTCTTCTCTGTTTATTGCCCACATCCTGACTGTATATTCTGATACCTCTTGATAGACTTGATTCTGACTCTTGCCTTTGTCTCCCCCACCGCATGTGGTTGTACTGCTTGATGAATATCTGTAATTTTACTCTTCAATTTCTGTAGGGTCTTGGCAATCAAGAAAGTGACTGAAAATGTATCTTTGACTTTAGCTATCATTTGACTGCTCATAACTGTCACTTAATTGGCCATGGATGTATACTTGTCTTTCATTGGCACTGAATCCAGTTTGACCCTGGGCATCTCTTGATTGCCCATGACTTGATCCCTGTCTGGCAAAACAGGTATCTGGCAAAACAGTAGTTTCCTGTCTCCTGTGAACTGTGCTGGATCTTACCTGCCCATGAGAAGTTGTATCTTCCTAATGTTGCTGGCTAGTTCCATGTATAGCTATTGTACTGAACTCTAACTTTTCGTGCCTAGATCCTAATTGCTCATGAGTGTCTTTCTCCCCATCTTCTGAATGCCTTTTACTATCAGTATGGGATTCCCGTTTTCTCTTTGAACTAGATTCTAAATGGATATGAATTGATATGGAGTGTCCATGGCCAAATACAGGGTGGTCACTTGATTGCCTATGTGTACATCCCTTCCTTCTGGCTGTGTTATATCCAGGACAAACATGGGTGTGGTTTGACTGTTTCTGAGTTACTACTGAATGTCCATGACTAGATTCCTGACTTCTAATTATAATGGGTCCAGACTGATATTGAGAATCAATTGATTTTTCATGACTTATCATTGACTGTTTATGAATTAAACCTTGTTTTCCTGTTCTTTTAGTTGCTTTGGATCCTATAAGGTCAGAACTAGAAAATAATTGTCAATGTTTAGACAGTTGCTTGTTTGCAGTGCTACCAATAGACCATGTGAGGCGACAATTCTAGCTGCTTTGTCTGCTGTCCCCAGAAGGCCCATACCCAGTGTGCCCATAGTCATATTCTGCAGATCCATAGCTGCCATGTTTCCAAGATTGACTTGATCCATGCCTTTGTCTTTCATTGCTATGTGACTGAAAATGACTTTTTCTCGTAGATCTGGAACCTGTCTGTGTGGATTGTCCATGACCAGAATAACCATGTCGAGTGCTATCTTCTGTCTGTCCATGAGTAGTTTCCTGTCTCCTGTGAGCTGTGGATCCTAACTCTGCATGTTGAGATTCAGCTTGGCCGTGTGTGTGTCCTGAATGTGTGTGTGAGGCCCCTGAGTGCACCTCACTGTCACTGGATTCACTGTGGCTAGATCTCTGTTTTCTAGTTGTCCTGGACCCTGTCTGTGTGGACTGTCCATGACCAGAATGACCATATCTAGTGCTATCTCCTCTCTCTCCATGAGTAGTTCTCTGTCTTCCTTCACCTGTGGATCCTGACTCTCCATGTTGAGATCCAGCTTGGCCGTGAGTGTGTCCTGAATGTGTGTGTGAGACCCCTGAATGCACCTCACTGTCAGTCGACTCACTGTGGCTAAATCTGTGTCTTCCAATTGTTCTGGACCCTGTCTGTGTGGACTGTCCATGACTCGACTGGCCATGTCTAGTGCTATCTCCTGTCTGTCCGTGAGTAGTTCCGTGTCTCCCATGAACTGTGGATCCTGACTCTCCATGTTGAGATCCAGCTTGGCCATGAGTGTGTCCTGAATGTCTCTGTGAGACCCCTGAGTGCACCTCACTGTCACTCGACTCACTGTGGCCAGATCCTCTTCTTCCAGTTGTCCTGGACCCTGTCTGTGTGGACTGTCCATGACCAGACTGGCCATGTCTAGTGCTATCTCCTGTCTGTCCATGAGTAGTTCCATGTCTCCCATGAACTGTGAATCCTGACTCTTCATGTTGAGATCCAGCTTGGCCGTGAGTGTGTCCTGAATGTGTGTGTGAGACCCCTGAGTGCAGCTCACTGTCACTGGACTCACGGTGGCTAGATCTGTGTCCTCCAGTTGTTCTGGACCCTGTCTGTGTGGACTGTCCATGACCAAACTGGCCATGTCTAGTGCTATCTCCTGTCTGTCCATGAGTAGTTCCGTGTCTCCCATGAACTGTGGATCCTGACTCTTCATGTTGAGATCCAGCTTGGCCGTGAGTGTGTCCTGAATGTGTGTGTGAGACCCCTGAATGCACCTCACTGTCACTCGACTCACTGTGGCCAGATCCTCTTCTTCCAGTTGTCCTGGACCCTGTCTGTGTGGACTGTCCATGTCTAGACTGGCCATGTCTAGTGCTATCTCCTGTCTGTCCATGAGTAGTTCTGTGTCTCTCATCAACTGTGGATCCTGACTCTCCATGTTGAGATCCAGCTTGGCTGTGAGTGTGTCCTGAATGTGTGTGTGAGACCCCTGAGTGCAGCTCACTGTCACTGGACTCACGGTGGCTAGATCTGTGTCCTCCAGTTGTTCTGGACCCTGTCTGTGTGGACTGTCCATGACCAAACTGGCCATGTCTAGTGCTATCTCCTGTCTGTCCATGAGTAGTTCCGTGTCTCCCATGAACTGTGGATCCTGACTCTCCATGTTGAGATCCAGCTTGACCCTGAGTGTGTCCTGAATGTCTCTGTGAGACCCCTGAGTGCACCTCACTGTCACTGGACTCACGGTGGCCAGATCCTCTTCTTCCAGTTGTCCTGGACCCTGTCTGTATGGACTGTCCATGACCAGACTGGCCATGTCTAGTGCTATCTCCTGTCTGTCCATGAGTAGTTCTGTGTCTTCCATGAACTGTGGATCCTGACTCTCCATGTTGAGATCCAGCTTGGCCATGAGTGTGTCCTGAATGTGTGTGTGAAACGCCTGAGTGCACCTCACTGTCACTGAACTCACTGTGGTCAGATCCCCTATTTCCAGTTGTCCTGGATCCTCTCTGTGTGGCTTGTCCATAACCAGAGTGGGCATGTCCAATATCATCTCCTGTCTGTCCATGAGTAGTTCTGTGTCTTTCCTGAACTGTGTATTCTGAGTCTCCATCCTGAGATTCAGCTTCACCCTGAGTGTGTTCTCGTGAGTGTGGTCTGTGTGAGATCCCTGAGTGCACCTCAGTGTCATTGTTCTCACTCTGGCTTGATCTTCGTCTTCTGGTTGTCCTGGACCCTATCGTTGTGGATTGTCCATGACCAGACTGGCCATGTCTAGTGGTATCTACTGTCTGACCATGAGTAGTTTCCTGTCTCCTGTGAACTGTGGATCCTAACTCTCCTTGTTGAGATACATGCTGGCCCAAGCCTGTTGATTGACCTGAGCCTGAACCATATTGGCCAAATCTAGTAGACTGACCTGAGCCAGATATATGTTGTCCTGAACTAGAGAAATGGCCTGAGCCAGACTCATGCTGTCCAAAACCTGTGGTTGCATCTGAGCCTGACCCATGTTGACCATAGCCAGATGATTGACTTGAGCCAGTACCATGTTGACCATAGCTAGACTGACCTGATCTGTACTGATGCTGTTCAAAGCCAGAGGATTGTCCTGTGCCTGACCCGTGTTGTCCAAAGCCAGAGGACTGACCTGAGCCTGATCCATATTGGCCAAAGCCAGAGGATTGACCTGAGCCTGTCCTGTGTTGTCCAAAGCCAGATGTCTGTCCTGAACTCGACCCATATTGACCATAGCCAGATGATTGACTTGAGCCAGTACCATGTTGACCATAGCTAGACTGACCTGATCTGTACTGATGCTGTTCAAAGCCAGAGGATTGTCCTGTGCCTGACCCGTGTTGCCCAAAGCCAGAGGACTGACCTGAGCCTGATCCATATTGGCCAAAGCCAGAGGATTGACCTGAGCCTGTCCTGTGTTGTCCAAAGCCAGATGTCTGTCCTGAACTCGACCCATATTGACCATAGCCAGATGATTGACTTGAGCCAGTACCATGTTGACCATAGCTAGACTGACCTGATCTGTACTGATGCTGTTCAAAGCCAGAGGATTGTCCTGTGCCTGACCCGTGTTGCCCAAAGCCAGAGGACTGACCTGAGCCTGATCCATATTGGCCAAAGCCAGAGGATTGACCTGAGCCTGTCCTGTGTTGTCCAAAGCCAGATGTCTGTCCTGAACTCGACCCATGTTGACCATAGCCAGATGATTGACTTGAGCCAGTACCATGTTGACCATAGCTAGACTGACCTGATCTGTACTGATGCTGTTCAAAGCCAGAGGATTGTCCTGTGCCTGACCCATGTTGTCCAAAGCCAGAGGACTGACCTGAACCCGATCCATGTTGGCCAAAGCCAGAGGATTGACCTGAGCCTGACTCATGTTGTCCAAAGCCAGATGTCTGTCCTGAACTTGACCCATGTTGACCATAGCCAGAGGATTGACTTGAGCTAAAACCATGTTGGCCATAGCTAGAATGACCTGATCTAGACTCATGTTGCCCAAAACTAGAGGACTGTCCTGAGCCAGACCCATGTTGTCTGAAGCCAGAGGACTGACCTGAGCCCGATCCATATTGGCCAAAGCCAGCAGATTGACCTGAGCCCGACCCATGTTGTCCAAAGCCAGTTGTTTGTCTAGACCCATGTTGGCCATAGCCAGATGATTGACTTGATCCAGAACCATGTTGGCCATAACTAGACTGACCTGATCTAGATTCATGCTGTCCAAAACCAGAGGATTGTCCTGAGCCAGACCCATGCTGTCCAAAGCCAGAGGACTGATGTGAGCCTGATTCATGTTGGCCATAACCAGATGATTGACCTGAACCTGACCCACATTGTCCAAAGCCAGAGGACAGACCTGAGCCAGACCCATGTTGTCCAAAGCCAGATGTCTGACCTGAGCTATACCCATGCTGGTCATAGCCCGAGGATTGACTTGACCTAGACCCATGCTGGCCACAAGTTTGACCTGAGCCAGATACGTGTTGTTCAAAGCCAGATGATTGACTCAAGCCTGTTCCATGTTGTTCACAGCTAGTAGACTGATCTGAACCAGACCCATGTTGACCACATTTGGAAAATTCATTTGAACTAGAAGAGTTTGAAAAGTGGCCACAGGAGCCATATTCATTTTGACCACTACTACAAGACTGACTACCTGCAGACCTGTATTGTCCACAAGAGGATTGACTTGTGCCTGTTCTCTGTTGTCCGCCAGAGTTCTGTGGTTGACCATGTTCTCTAGCTCCATAACCTCTCTGACTATAGGACTGGCCACAGGAGTTAGACTCAGGTTGGCCACATCCAGAGGGCTGACCTCCTGAGACACAGCCATGGCCTTGTCCTCCATTAATTTCTGACTGACAGCCTGACTGAGTACAGCTAGATTGATATCCTTGCCCTCCAAATCTATGTGGCTGGAAAGAACTAGAAGCAGTTTGTGGTCTTCCACACCCACCCGAATTGCTATAACCACATGCATAACTTCGCCTCCCACTACCTCCTGAATCTGAATGGTTAGACTCAAGCTTTTGTCCTCTACTTCTTGACTGAGTAGAGTTTGATTCATGCTGACTAGTCTCCAATCCACATGACACACCTCCATGACCTTTCCTTCCCCAACTCTTTGATCCACATCCAGATTCATATTCTTCCCCAGATTCCCTAGAAGGGCTAACATGTGACTTGTTTATTCTTTCTCCCAGTTCTCCAGAGCTGGAACCATGTCTCTCTTTGCCACTACTCCATGAGTGACCAGAGCTGGACCTATGGTGTCTTTTCTCAGATCTCTCTTGGTTCCCAGAGCTGGATAAATTACCTTGTCTTCCTAGCCTCCTGGAGTTGGACCCATGTCTACGTTTCACAGTTCCCCTCCAGTCCCCAGAACTATATCCATGCTTCTCTCCCTCACTCCAACTTGAATGTCTGTAACCTGATTTACGTCCTGGTGTATCCTCTTCATCCTCTTCTGTTTCACTTTCTTCCTCTTGGTGTTGGTGACCATGCCTACGCTTCTTTGACCCTGAAGCTTTGCAGTATTCTTTGCCGAGAACCTTGTTGCAGGCCAGAGCCAGCTTGAATACCATCAAAAGAAACTCAGTAAAGTCCAATCTTCTGTCATGATCTCGATCCAGCATGTGCATGATGACATCCACTGTGTCTGGATCATCTGGGTTCTGTATGTGAATGACACACCAAGAGAGACCTGGTCAGCCTAGCCCGCATACTCAACTAACACATTCAAATAGTGCTATGAAATTGTGGATGTTTGACATTATGTAGTTTTAGTCCAATAGAAGATTACTTTAGGTTAATAGAACCCAGTAAATGTGAAGCATTAATAGAAAATACAGACTATTGAGATACTCAGAAGAAGACATTTTAAGGATTTAAGCTAGAGGATTAAGTGCTTAGGTAAGGCCTATAGGAAGGAGTGGAATAAACCAAGTTCAGTAACTGGTACTTTTAAGTTTTACATAACTTTTAACTTTACATGTTAATATATTCCATGTTAGAATTTACCATCTACGATTTTGAAGTTAATAACTGAGTCATTCCTAAGTAGATGGAATAAAATGCTTGTATTTTATTGTTGATTCTTAATCATGGCTATTTTGTCAGCTCCTCTTGTAGATGATTTCTCCTTCTATAGTTTTTTTCCATTTGATAGGATAATTTGCTAATGCATGTCCTAGAACAAACTTATTTTCTGCTTTTTCTGAGGAAAAGTCTGTATGTATGAGAAAGTCTGAGAGTCTGTAAGGTGGAAGTACATAGGAAAAGTGAAGACGAAACATTCATTTTCTTTAAAAAACATGCTGCTTTAACAGACTTTCTGGTATCTCCAAAATACTGCTTATAGAGTTTGCTTAGAGTCTACTGGGGCTGTGCACTTTTTAGCTGATCTGGGTCACATAACAGAGCATGTACAGAACTCCGGCAGCCTTCAGTTCTGGCACATGGTTCTCACCTTCAGAATTGGACGAAACTCTTTTTCCAGAAGTTCCTTTAGTTCATCCTTGCTCAGTGTGCCACATTCCTCATCTTGCTTGGTGTATTTGTAGAAAACGTCAATGACAGTGACAACACTTCTCAAGAGGTCGGTCATCTTTTTACAAGTTAAAGTGAACCTGGACACAGAAAAACAAAGAACCCTATTATTCATATTCTCCCCTTTTAATTTATTAGCAGTTTTCATTTTAATAATAACCTTCATGATTTTTTTAACCTCTTGTTTCTTTTAAATGTCAAAAAGTAAGGATGGGTCAAGGATGATCTTTACTGTTCAACACAATGAAAATAAACTGTGTTAACTTTGAGTTACTTTTCTAAGATCAAGTCATGGCATGTACTGGGTCAGCTGAGAGTAGATCTCAGATCTCTATATTTTTTTCATGGGAAAGTATAATCTCTACATAATATCTCTACGCTTTGAGTGTGTTGGTGTTCTGGGTGTTGTTCTAAGGCTTCCAAAGTTTCTAGAACCAGCCAGACACCATTTCCTCAATCCCTCTTTCTAGTTTCACTGCTATTCTTGAGTCAAAAATGACAGACCTTCTACCATGCACATCTATTTATCCTCTGGGCACCAGAAACTAAACTGGACCCTTAAGTCCTTAGCAAATTAAAAATGGGCAAAGGGGCTCAAAATATCTTGGTATTTCAGAGGCATAAGATAGCCCTAGGATATCCATAAGATAGTCCTAAGATAGTAGAGCTTAGGAACTTTCTTAATATTAAGAACTTGACCAAATGCTGTTCTCTTTCATTAATCAAGAAGAGGAGCTCAGCAATGCAGGCAGCAGTTTTAGTGGATAATTAGATCTTGGAATTCTGGGAACCAACACTGAACAAGGAAGGGCCTCTGCAACAGTCCCAGCTACTTCCCAGTTTGAGCTGGACAGCCCAGAAAAGAATAGCCTGGAAAAAAACTGGGAACAGTGTGGAACGGCCTAGAAGAAGGAAAACTTCTACTTGCATTATTCTTCCCCCGTAAAGATGAATTTATTAAAAAAAAAAACAGAATAAACTAAAATAACTAAACAGAAAGAAAAGAAAATGAAGAAACAAAAAAGAAAACAAAGGCAAAATATATATAAACTCTGCCTTAGCTCATATCCCTAGATTTCTATTATGGACAACATGAAATATTCATAAATGTAGCTGGATAAATTATTTCTCACCTGGTTCACCAAAGGAACAAGTAGGATAAAGCTGATGCAGCTTGCAGGGTGATGATGGATTGGGATAATGATCCTTATATAGATACACTGTGATGACTAATTTTAATCAAACCTGACTCCACCTCTAAATATTCCCTTCCTCCTCCATCACATTCTCATCTATAAATGATTGCAGAAAGGCTGGTACCAACTCCACCTTCCAGTATGAGGACATGGTTGCAAGATACTTTTTTTTTTCAGGGTCATACTCATGTGAAAAGCACAGACTTTGATCAGACTTTGTTTTTGAGGACTCATGTTATGCATTTCTTTTATCTGTTACCCACAGAAAGTAGCATAGTATAAGATATTTGGAAGGTGCACAATAAATGCTTATTCAATTGAAAGTGAATCTAAACCACTAGGTTCACCTAACTCACGTCTTTTTTGTAATAATAAAAACTGACATTTAAAGAGAATTTACTATGTGCTAGATAGTGTGCTGAATACTTTAAACATATTATCTCAATCTTTTAAAAAATCTATACTTTTAATTATGCGTACATAGTTGTATATAACTGTGGGGTACATGTGATATTTTGATATGCACATACCGTGTGTAATGATCAAATTACAATAGAGTAATTGGGGTATCCAGCACCTCAAGCGTTTGTCATTTCTTTGTTTTAGGAACATTCTAATTCCACTATTTTAGTTATTTAAAAATATACAATAAATCATTGTTAACTTAGTTACCCTATGGTTAACTAATAGTAGATTGTATCCCCTCATTTAGTCTTCACATCCTCCATATGAGATATGTGTTTATTACTCCACTTTTCAGAGACAGGTTCTGAAAGCATAAGGGTTTTCTCCAAGGTCACAGCTGGCAGGCAGAGAAACCAGGATTTGAACCTGTATCTACCTTATTGCAATGCCATTGCTCTTTACCGCGCCCGGCCCCACATATAACTATTATCCAAAAATGATGCATCATTTTAGGAGTGTTAACACCCAACCCACAAATAATATGAAAAACAAACACGCCGGGCGCGGTGGCTCAAGCCTGTGATCCCAGCACTTTGGGAGGCTGAGGCGGGTGGATCACGAGGTCAAGAGATCGACACCATCCTGGTCAACATGGTGAAACCCCGTCTCTACTAAAAATACAAAAAATTAGCTGGGCATGGTGGCGTGTGCCTGTAATCCCGGCTACTCAGGAGGCTGAGGCAGGAGAATTGCCTGAACCCAGGAGGCGGAGGTTGCGGTGAGCCGAGATCGCGCCATTGCACTCCAGCCTGGGTAACAAGAGCGAAACTCCGTCTCAAAAAAAAAAAAAAAAAAAACCAAATAATATAAAAAAGTAACATATAGAGTGCTGTTAGGAAGAGAGGAAACATTCTCTCACCTTATGAAGACTCATTTCTAGGCTAGAAAAATATAATTAGTTATATATAAAAACAATGTTTCTGGAAATGTTCAGGGTGAATTTAGAGTGGGATTTCTTCCAGCACTCTGCTATCCACTGGTAGCCTGGCATCTTTGAGCCTGGATCTTTGGGAAAATGTTCACTTATATTCAGAAAGTATATCAAATATACTCTAGGGTAATGAAAATAATCAGAGAGCTGTAAGTATTAAGCATGGAGAGCCTATTCTTCTGTACTTTGCTACCAGGTGATAACGGTGATGAAGAGGAGGAGGATAGGAGCTACCAATAAGTGCTAAGTGCTTCCTGTCTTCCGTACCTGGTAGGTTTACACACTTATCTCTCTATTCCTCACAATAACCCCATTTTATAGATGAAGAAATGAAAGCATAGAGAGATGTAAGCATTTGTTACAAATCAAAGCTAGTCAGTAACAGCACTAGAACAGAGATCCATGCCATCGGATGCTAAAGCCTAGCACTTACCCACATACATTCTACATATATGGAGTCAGTGAACCCCTACCTGGGCATTCCTTTGGGGAAGTCATTATGTCTTATTCATTCCACCATCTAGGCAGGACGTAGAGCTTGGTAAACACTAAGAATGAGTGTCTGTTCATAACATGTTCACGAAAATGCCCCTGAGATGTATCAATTGCTCACATAGCCAAGGAATCCTAGACCAAAACAACCACACAGAAAGTTATGTTTGCTGTCGGACATTGTGGTCGTTTTCAATACTATGTGTCTTTTAGAAGTGCATTTTTGTTAACATGACTGCTGTGTCAGAAAGACTTTAAGGTCCCAGCCTCCATATGAGACAGAATTTTAGAGCCATTTTTGCACTGTCCCTCCAGTATTATAGTTTAGAACTCTAAAACTCCTCCATCGTTTGCCCACTGTCAGAACTCTATTATTCATTATTTTGTATTCTTTGCATTTAGGTCTCTCTTCCTCTTCTCACTTGCTTAGCATAATGGCTAAAATTATCGTCAGAAAGCCGTAATTTATAATCTCAGCTTTGCCTCTTACTGTGTTTCTTGTACAAGTATCTAATCTTCTCAGCCTCAGTCTCCCAAATTATAGAATAGAACAATAACACCTACCTGACAGGTGGCAATTACTTAACACGTGAAATTACTTAGTAGCTGCCTGGCATATAATACATTCTTAGTACACTATGTAATTATTGCAAACTTATTTTGCTAAATAGTTTATATCATCTATCACAGCATTTTACACAAATAAAGTACTTGATAATGTTTGGTAAAAATGAGTTAGAAGCCGCTAGTAGTCTTTTAAAGGCAGAAATACTACATCTCTGTCAAAAGCATTGCCTGGAAGGTAAGTCGTGGTTTTGAAAAAACGCACCTGTTTTTGGGGTATCATTCACATATCATAAATGTCAACCTTTTAACTTGTTTTCTGTTTGCCCTCAGAGTGCTGTGCTGGCAGTGAGCTGCACTTTTTTTTTTTCCAATTGAGAAATGGGTTAAAGTATACAGTATGTATGTGTGTGTGTGTGTGTGTGTGTGTGTGTGTGCGTGTGTGTGTGTATGTGTATACAGAGTATATGCAAGTGAGTTATGGTTTTTATGATGTCTGTGTCTTTAAGTGAGTTTCCTCACTTCTCAATTCCTTAGTTTTCTCTCTGTAATGATCATGGGCGTTATTAGTGTCTGGGTCCCAGTGGACACATAGCAGGTTATTTGAGCTGCAATTTTGGAGAATGGTTATTGTCTCCATTTCGCAAAAGCCTATGCACTATTTGGAAAGAATTCCAAGTGCTGGTTTTAAATATTGAGTTGATACCTGCAGAAACTTTTGCCCTCCTGGGTTCTGAAAGATTGTTTAGTTCAATGAAGCAGAGGTCTGAAGTCCAGAGGTAGGGTACAGCTTCAGTTACACCATTTTTCTGTGGCTGGGCCTCCTTTTTGCATTATGCTACTCATCTCATCACCTTCTGCTCATTCTATGTCTACATTGCTCAGGCTCTAGGCAACACGAGATTCTTTGATTTGAGGCCCTTTTGGTGAAGCTCATGCACTGTCGGCCACTGGATTCTTGAAAAGGAAGCTATGCCTTAGAATATTAAAAGTAACTTTAATTGGACCTGCAAATGTTTTAGATTTTGGCTTTTCCACTGCATGCCAGATGAATTTTGTTTCTATATCTCATCCTTTTTTTTTTTTTTTTTGAGACAGCATCTCACTTTGTCACTTAGGCTGGAGTGCAGTGGTGTGATCTTGGCTCACCACAGCCTCAATTTCCCACACTCAAGCAATCCTTCCGCCCCAACCTTTCAAGTAGCTAGGACTATAGATACGTGCCACTATGCGTGCTATTTTTTAAAATCTTATTTAAGGTGGTGAAAGCTCTGCAAGTTAGAATAGTCTGTTTTACCTCCTGTCATGTTCAAATTAAGAACTTGCCTTAGAGACTGCGTGGGTCTTTGTCTGTCATAAGAACCAAACATTCTCTCTATGCTGTAACTATTTGGAACTCCTATTTGGGGGGTTTTCAATGAACTCAATTTAGAGCTGATACCTGAGAATTGATCCAGGGACACTGATATGCATTACATGTCTGTTTTCTGTAAGAGCAGTTTAGGGAGATGTTCTTGGCTTGTAGTATGATGTAGTAGAAAAAACATTGACTTTGCAGTAAGACACATACATCAATTTGTATTATAGTTCCAACATATACTACCTGTAATATCTTGGGAACATTTCTAAGTCTGTCTCTGTTTTCACACCTGTTAAATAGGGACAATTACAGACATCTTAGAACTTGATTTAAAAAATCATAAATTTGATTTTTAAAACCATTAATGTGCATTTAGAACTAAGTTTGTAAGTCAAGAGAATGATAAGGTTAAAAAAAATGGGAGTTCATTGTTGAGTATGAATTTAAAGTAACCAGACTTTCTTTGATCCAGTGGCTCTCAACAATTTACTTCAGCAGGCATTTTTGTTTATTTGAGGACATTCTATGATCTCATGACCTTTATCCTTGTAGGAATGTGCTGCCAGTGGTGAGGCAGTCTAAGAATGTGTGAAGCAGGATAATTAAGCTAGATCAGGATTGAAACTTGGCCTAGGATTTGAGCTTCAGGAAAACTGTTGAAGTTTTATTTATACATCACACACACACACACACACACACACACACACACACACACACACAATTCCATACTCCCACAACAATGTATAGTAATGTAATTACTATACAATGCAATGTAAATACTATATGTTGAAGATCTATAACATGGAATTCCTAGTGCTAAGTACAGTGTCCTCAGTGAAATTATATTGGTTCAAAATTATGTGTGAGTTCGGGATTATTTGTCACCACCCTTAAATGATCTTGACACTCACCTATTTCAACAGGTATAGAGGATTTGCCATTTGATTTTGACCAGGGTATATTGTGCACAAATATTGTGAATATACATCTGTCTGTCCTTAAATCACTGTAAGTTTTATCTGGAATAGATTTGCTCCACAATACTGAGTACGGCTGATATTTCATGCACCATGGATGAGGAAAGAATTAGCAAAAATTATATCTTTGGCTGCCTCACATATCTTTGCACAGAATAGGGAAAAATAAATATAAGACCTATGAGTTATGGCATC